CTTAAACGTGCGGTGGTGACTGTCTGATCCTAAAGAAATCGTAGTTAATCTTTTTTAATCTTTTCGTCATGCAGTCAACCCTTTGAACAGCGGGCCGCACGACTCTAGGGTAAAATGGGTGTAACATCCAGACGACACTTTATGAATTATGTCAGAAACGAATGAAAAAATCAGAACTTCCACAGTATTTGAATTATGAAGATTTGGGATCCGGAATAAAAATATTGCAGAAACGTATATGGTCATGTCATTATCCTTTTCAACGATGAATGATGTTTATTGTTTCATGTAAAGATTGGTTCAGCTGCAACTGGTGCAAGCTGAGAATGATGACAAAAATCTTGAGTAGGTTCTTGTATTAAGACAGCTAGTTCAGCTAGTCTTAGTTTTCATTGTGTGCCATAGAAACTAGATGCGACAACGAATGCGCGAAGCGACAGAGGCACCGTTGTATCAGCTCAGGCAAAACCCTCATGGCTTATTTCGCTTTACGTTAGTATATTCGAATTTGGCTACTTGCATAATTAGCTTATTCCCCATAAATCCAATGTTTGCGCCGACCTTGCAGAAAAAGGGAGATGGCATAACGAGGGACCGCATACCAGGGTAAACCGTAAAGCAAAATTATAAAGGCCTGAAATGATAAGGAAATAGTATGAAATCGTGCATATTGTCGTTTGCTCTATTAGCCGAAAGTGACTTTAGTTCTATTCTAACAAAATTATCCTGAGGCAGGCTTATCGAATGACAACACAGCCGAATGAGCAGGCAAGATTCGGAAATGGATTTAGCACGATGGATTGTCTCTCGGTGGTACAACAAGTAATTTAGAGAAGAAACGATTACCAGCTGCTTCCCGTTCGATTCATTCTACACCCGGTTTCTATTGGATTTTTTGAGAAGCTAGGGAATTGAGAAAAGACGCAACTACTTCATAGCCACCATGATTTATAAGAAAGCAACAATGAATGAATTACCATTAAAGCACAGGGAAGTTCAGAATCGAAAAACGCGTTCGAGAGGGTGAAGGAAAATCACTAGAGTTATTTACGGCAGTATTATAAGAGGTTTTAGAGACATTCTATTAGGAAAACCGAGGCAGAAGATGAGTAGGCACTGCTGAAGTAACCTGTGGTTTGCGGACATTATTCTGATTCTCCTAAGGCCTCCAAAGAAGAATTCAGATGCTGAACAGTGCCAACCTTAACATAGCAAGAAGAAGGTACCTTGTGACAGGCAACTGAAAGAAAGTTCAGTTACTTGTCACAGAGGTTTCTGTTGTGC